GCAGTGGGGGAATATGGAAGTTGAAAACTTATTACTGCTGTCAGTTACAGCATTAGTTCCAAGTGTCAGAAATATCCCAACTCTGCAAGTGTCCCATGAAGGAATTGGTACAGTTACATATAAAAAAAATTATTTTTCTTCAAAAAACGTTGCAATTGCAAAAGCAAGCAATTGTCAGCTGGGAAGCAACAGCTGAATGAGGAGCCTTGCAGTGGGGGCGATGCTGTCTTATCTAAGTTTGCAGCCTTTCTGTAGGCTCGGTTTCAAAGGCTGTCAGCCAGGCAACTTAATAAAACCCTCTCTCCTGGGACAATTGCATGGGTTGTGGCAACATACACAGGAACTATATGCAAGAGAAAGGATGTCCTGACATAATTTATTTGCTTTTGTAGGCTATTTCAATGAGAAAAATCACCCAATTACTAACTGTGGTGGAGATGGCTAAATAATATTTAGCACTCTCTTGGGAACTGAACTGTTACCACTGAGCTGTTTTCCTTGTTTCTTAACAGTCTTCCCAGTCCAGTACGAATTGATTACTAGAGGGTAGGAGATTTACAGTCTGTTATCTCCTGTTTGGGTAAGAGCACCAGATGTTATTGACCTTGAAAAAGATAATTATTATTCTTATTTTAAACAGACGTGAGGTGAATGGTCATGTTGAGGATGGAAATGAGCTACAGACGACACCAGAGTTCAGAGCACACGTTGCAAAGAAACTGGGAGCAATGCTAGACAGGTATGGGCATGCAATACTAAATGAAGTTTCTTTGATGGGTCAACTGCAGATACTTTTGTGTGCCAAACCTAGGAAATTCAAGATCTGAGCACAGCCTGGATATGGAGGAGAAGATGTTTCTCTTCTTGTCCTCTTCATTCCTGTATTTAATGCAAACTTCCAATATTCTGTGAACTAACCTGGCCCATGTGCCGTACCCCTCTGGTAAAGACTCCCTCTGCAGCACTGCGTGTCTCCATTTGCCTCTGGTGAATGTGTTGTGGGGAGGAAAAAGTAGACTTTGGGTGCTTTAGCACTTTCATCGTTTAAAGGCTGGCATGAGAATCTTTCATTTATTCTTACGACTCAAACCAATACCTGATTTGGGGTTGTGCTGGCACTATGCCTCTGACTGGGCTGCCACTGTCTTTATTGTGTAAATATGGCCCTGGAGAACTAGAGTTCCTGGTGTTCAGAAACTCCGCTTTCAAGTCATTCTTGTGGCATGCGTTGCTAAGGAGAGAAGGCATGGTCTGCTCTGAAAGCAGGGAGGTGAGGCAGCTTCGCTAAGAAAAAGGTAAGAAGCTATGTAGCATCTCCCTATAGCCTTCTTTCCTTAGAAGTACCAACCTTAGCTCAGTTTGCGCAAACCTGTCTAAGATCTGACTGGCGTTTTCTGTTTAGTTTCATCACTGTCTTGAAGGACTCGTCAGGACCTTCACAAACGTCTGTGCAACAGTCTGATTCTGGAGATGATGGTGAGTTCTAGTCACAGCCATTGTGGCTGTTTCATGATGTTGCTGGTTAAATGATGACAAGTGGGATGGATCCTGTCTATTGCCAGTTCTACACCCAACTGACTAATAAGCATTTGCAATAGAAGAATTTCTGTTAGCGTCTGTGAAGGCTGTTACTTTGAAGCCGTGATCTCTGTGCCCTAAGTCCTCCCAGATAGTCCCAAATAATTGCTGTCAAGCACTATGGCAATACAATAACAGCAGCAAGGCTTCCTAGGGAGATTGCTGTTGATTGCTTTCACCTCGGTTTTATATCGTGGCTAAAATTCCCCTTTATGTATTTTAGGTTTTCGCCTCTTCTCTTCCTCTGTCCCAGGAGACTGTGGGAATTCAGAGCCTTGCCCTGCAGCAAGGAGGAGACAGCCATCTAGTTCCAGGTGAGGAGGTGTCAGCTGCTTTGCTCCTGGAGTGCTATTGCATCCCACATTTCGGAGGCAGCTGGGACTTTCACAAGGGAATAGGAGGCTGAAGAGCTTGAGCGTGTGTATTTATGACTCCTATATTTGTCCGGAGCACTTCTTTTTTTTAGTTTCTTTTTTTAGTGCTGGGGAACTAGAAATGTTTGTGGGAGATGTTCTTTCCCCTCCTAGTATGTAAAGAACACCTCAGCCTTCAGTCTGTTTAAATGCTAACTGTAGGTATTGGAGTCCCAGAGCCACTGGGTGTTTATCAGCCGTTCTCAGATTACTCTGCTGGCTGCGCTTTGGGTGAATTCAAGGCAAAAGTGTAATGTAACTTCCGTTCCTTTTGTTACCTTTCCAGTGACACAGACAGTGACCAAGAGTGGCAAAGGTACCAGGAGGCTGCTGTGTCAGCCACAGACATTCTGAAGCAAAGTGCTTTTCCTGCACTGTCCCGGGATTCCAGCCAGGATCAGAGTCAGGGTTATGTAGAGCACAACCAGAAAAAAAAGAAGAAAAAGAAAATTAGGGGAGAAAACAATATGCAAGAGAAAATAATAGACCCAGCAGAGTGTGACCAGATCTGCAAAGATTTGCCACAGTTGGTGTCTGCAAATGGACAGCATGAGAGACAGGACAGCAGTCATACAGAGAACTCAGTGTTGCCAGGAGTTGTAAAGAAGAAAAAGAAGAAGAAAAAAAGAGAATGAAGATCTTGCTTTGCAAACACCAGGTCATTATAATGGATGAAGAATGGTCGAAAAAAAACCCAAAACCCCGAACAACAAGAGTTGCTGCAGATAAGGGCAAATTAATTGGCAAAGCTTCTGTTCTAAAAGCTCAGTGGCCTGAGAGTCTAATTAAGTGACTTCCTATGTTTTTGGCGTCCCCTGGGGAGGGGAACATTATTCTCCTGGCACAGCAGTTCTCTGTGCTGCTGCTTACGCAGACTTAGCGTAAAAGGGTTAAATCCTGTGCACGGACTTGCATGGCAGAGGGATGTAATCATAGCTGCATCCCTCCTGGTCTGTTCCTTCCCATCATGAAAACAAATCCTGTGTCCTGGAGAAAGTATATGATGACTTGAATTTGGTTTACATGGCAACAGGTGATCAACTCCTTTTCTCTGCCTCCTCCTAGATGCCTGCTAAGAATAGCTCCAGCCTGTGGGAGATTCATTTATCAAAAGCATCCTGTCAGATATCAGGGCCCCCTTATTTTTTTTTTGCCCTGTGACAATCTGTTGTTGAAACCTGCCATATTACAAATCCCTCTGTAATCTGCACCTCTCCAAGGCCCCTGCATCTAAACAGTGTGCAGTGAGCTTGTTTCAGGGTTGTTATAAATAGGTAGTTCTGCTCAAGTTGTGTCCGTTGGGATTTCTTTTTGTGTATAGGTTTTTTTTATGGCATTTGTTGTTATTAAATTCTAGTACACTATTAGACTTACTTAATTTGGCAGGTTTTGTACAACAGTGGCTTTCTTGCTGTGTTCTGATGGCTCCCCCGGCAGAGATAAAGATGGCTGAAGATGGCTCTTCCGTTGCTATGAAATTGCTACAGGAAGGACTCAAGCCTGACTTAAAATCGCTGTGTTTCAGTCCTTATTTCGGTTGATTATGACTTTGTCTCTCTGACATATGGTGGGTTTTGGTAGTTTTCACTATGGCTCTTAGTTCCAGTTTTTTGGGGAAATGACCGGTTATCAGATAAATACTTTTCTGTTTGGGATTCAGTAGCTCTAACTTACTGGCCCTATTCAGGACACCAGAAAGCCAGGTTAGAGAAACTGAAATAGTGGACTGTTACTCTTTGAGCATGGGAAAACCCAAGACGTTTTCTTTCCTCCTGTAGGATCCTTGCTGGTTTTTAATCAAGAAAACACAGCTGGCATCCAAAAAATAGAAAAGCCAAGTAGAAAATTGGCTGGTAATCTAACTGAATGTGCCAGCAGCAGTTACTTGTCTTGTGGGCAGTTAAAACTTCAGTATACTGAAGCTAGCACCTGGGGTTTCAAATGCTTAGTGGTGTAAACATTACCTTTTGACTTGTTTTATGATGATTATTTTTATGCTAACTGGAAGTTAAATGTATTTGTAACTGAGGCAGATGGGAGATTAGGAAACAATTCTAGGATAAAATTCCTCAGAGAGTCTAATTACTGAAATTAGTATCTAGTGGTAGATGGTATCTAGAGGAAGCTCTTATCAATAAAAACTGTAATGGACATCTGCAGTTTTGAGATTTCCAGATATGATAACTAAAATCTTCCCTGTTGGGCTTTTTCATTTTTAATTCTCCCTTCTATCTTAAGCTTTTAAGAGGCTTCAGCACGTTCTAGACTCAAGGGTTTTCATCCATTTCACAGTTGAAAGAACAGCTCTGTTTTGGTCACAAAGACAAAAACATGTTAATTGGGTCTTTTTTTCATGTCTGACTAGTGACATATCAGTGATGTGAATGTTGAGAGTAAATAGGGAAGAGAGGAGTAATTAAAAGACGAATTATATAAGTAGATCCTAGGGCTAAAAACCTTCACTTAGTGCAAGTAAGACTCTTAGGTCCCAGGGTAATTATTTGCATATCAAGAATTTCAGAACCTAGCCTACAGGGAAGTTAAGAATGAACTGTGTTCTGTAACATGAATCCAAGCTAACATCTTTATAGAGAACAACTGAAGGAACTGCTGCTCCTTGTGGAGCGTGGGAGCCTCCCAGGTGTGGTGCAGTGTCAGGGACCTGTGGAAAATGCCATCCCCTGGCTCATTCAGCAAGACGCGTGATATGAGAACCCACATGGTTAATGCAGAGAACTTGGAATCTCCTTGCTGCTGTTAAACTTTTAATTTCTGCATTTAAAACAAAGCAGAGCTATATCAAAAATAACCAAGCCATTTCCACTAGGATAGCATGATTTTAGAGCAGGTTGTTTTTAACTGACAATGTTCGGTATTTTTGTATTTAATTAAAGGATTTGTAGCTTGTAGTCAGTGATCCCACACTGACAGGTTTGTGCCAAGCCGTTCCTGAATCTGTCTGTTGGTGATTTTCATTGCAAAGTCAGGAACCAGGTTCTCTCACTCTTGCCTCCAAGATACTGTTATTTCTCATAGTTCTCATTGGTGCTTCTTTGCAGCAAAGGAGGTGAGCGTTTTAAAGATGGTGTCCCTTCTTTGGCAGCTCAGCTTTGCTCTTTCCCGCATGGCTTAGTCTGGTGTTGGCAGGTTTGTACAGGCCCAGCTTGATCAAGGCTGAGCAGAATGAAAGTCCCATCCATGCCCTGGCAGTTTTGATGTGTTACATTCAAATCCCCATCTTGATGAGATTCCTTCTCGGGCAGCCTCAAAAGGACGTCTGGCCATTCTAGGTTGAGTGGGGCTTGGGTTTGCTTGGGTTTTTTTGGGGGGAGCAGTGGATTTTAGCAGTGCCAGCACCATCTTTCCATGGCTTCTGTCTTGAGCTTGAGATGTCTGCTCTCACAGAGGCAGCTGAGTAAGGGGTTTGTATGAGGCGGTAGGGACTGGAGGTCGGCTGTGCAGCAGCTTTTCCTTACCGTGGAAGGCAGTGGTGACAGTGATGGCAAACACCGTTGGAGTTGCACCTGACAGGTTGGTCATGGCAGTCACCCTTGAGCTGATTGTCTTGATTACTGAGTGGAGGATGCCATTTGCGTGGAGATGAAGGTCTCGATGACATTGTGAGTGGACGGCAGCAGCTGACTGTGGCTGTTGGCAGAGTCAGAGCTTTGGTACAGCACCAGGCTGCTGGAGGACACTGTCAAAGGCACAGGTAGGAGTTAAGTACCAGTTCTCACTGCAGTTCCTGTCTGTGTGCACACACTTATATGTCTGGCATGACTGAACTCTCCTGCAATAGAGGCATAACTCCTTTTTGTATTGTGTATGCCATTGTATACCTCGCTTAAGGCCACAGTTAGCCTGGACACATTGAGGGCAACAATCTTCAGAGAGTTTGGTTTTGAGGATTCTAGTTGATTGTTAATGTCCCAATTCTCTTAAAACTGGGAACATCCAAGTGGAGTCTCTTCATGAGGGAGTCTTTGGGCTTTTCAGCCCTGAAAACCACCCACAGGGCTGGATACTGCAGATACACTGATTTTTGTCAATATTTTTAAGGTATTTTCCTCTCTAGATTCTGAAGAAGGGTGCCATTTCCAGAGTCTGGTCTTACATAGACTGTGCTCTGAATCTTTTCCTTGTACCAGCTTTTCAAACCCCCCAAGACACTGGTAGAGCCCTCTTAGAGAATCGTGAGCCCCAGTTACCATTTTCTAACTGGATTTTACAGTGTTGCCAAGAGAAACTAGGCAATATGTGGTTTAAGATAATAGTGGCTGCTGCTCTTACCAGCAGGGCTAGAGGTGAGGCGAGGGCCTGGCTGAAGGTGCTGGATGGTTGTGTCTTGGTTCTGTAAATGTATCGTTGGCGCCTGTGACACTGGTGTGTGCATCCCAGACTCTGTGTGGGTCTCCGAGTCAGATGTGAATGCCTAGGGAAAAGAAAGTTAACAGTACCTGGTTTCTACATCCCTTCTAACAGGCACAAGAGAAGTGAGCAGGTGCTGTTTCCAAGGAGATAGAATCCTCCTTGATGGCGCAGTGCGGTGCTTGCTCTAATGCCTCCAGTATTGCAGCTGGTACCATCAAGGCGAGGAGATAAGAAAGGTCATCCCACTGGGATGGCATAGACTGCACACCCAAAAACTCTTTGACAAGCAAGGAGCTACCTGCAGACTGGTGCAGTTCTAAGGTGGGGGAACAAAGGCATGTGCTAAAGGCTATTACCTGTTTAGTTGGTGTCAGATTAGTCAGGGCGCTGAGATTGGCTGTATCTGTTATCACCATGGTTTGTGGTAAGAGGCCTGTATGTGTGTATTGGGCCACTTCAGACTTGGGGCCGTAGAGAGCTGTGCATGAAAGAAAACAAGATCATGTGGGTGCTGGAGCTTTGCATGAGACTGGTTTGGCTGAATTGTTCTCCTCATGCGTGTGGCCCTGCTGTCTGTCTCCAAAACGGTGGGAGTGGAGGGACAGGGAGATGAATGCAATAGAAAAATAATTTCATGATTACAGCAACAGTAATAGAAGAGGAAAATGGAGTGTTGCAAGCCCGAGGACCCAGCAGATGCTCCCGAATAAGAGTCTTTTTGTTGTTGTTGTTGTTTACTTGAGCAAATGAGCTCATTTTCTTACCGTGAGGGTTCTGTATCTGGGCCATAGTAGCCATGAAGGGGCTCTGGTTGATGTGGCTCTGGACTTGCTGCATGAGGGGCTGCTGGTAGGATGGGTGCAGTTGCTGGGAGAACTGGACGGGCTGCAGGGTAGTGAGGCTGCTACCCATGCTGTTTATTACAGGTACGCTCTGGGGCTGGGTTGAGGCCAGGCCTGAAAAACAAGGACTGATGACAGTAGTGTCACACACTATGGGAGGAGTGTGGCAGCTCTGCAATAGGGGTGTCTGAATTAGTTTTCTTGGCAGGCCTGTTGTCGCAGGATGATTGCAGGTCCTGCTGTTCAGGTGTTCTGTTGTTATCTGTGATTAAGAATAGGTTTAATGCCCGTGAAAATGAAGTGGGAGTATGCAAAATGTACAGTGCAAACAGGTACCCTAAAACCACCTCTGACTTCCAGTGCTTGTTTCTGTTTACGTCCTTGTGTACCAGTATAGATCACTTTCCAGTTTAGTGATAACCTGATACAGAGTTCCACTTGGGAGGCTTTGCTCAGAAGTAAACTTAGAGCCATCATCTCGGTGTCCAGTTCATTTTATTCTTTTTTTTTATGAAGCTGTTGGCAACAGAGAGAACTATGCTGTAGCTGTCCAGCCACATGGAATGGAGTTTAAGCTTATTTTGCTTGGGCTGCCAAATTATGGAATTTGGACCAGTGAGAAAGAGGTAGAAGATTTCACACATTACTACCCATTCCTACAACTGTCCAGACCCTGTTCCTGTAAATCAGCAAGTCTCTCCAGCACGAAGAGATTTACACTGTGTGGAAATCTCTATTATTTTTTTGTTTGTTTGTACAGAATCTATATCATAATTGTGTTTATAAATGAGGGAATGGAAATTAGTTCACAGCTGTCACCATGGAACAAAGCAAGGTCTCCTTCTTCCAGGGAAGAAGTCGAAGAGGAGAGTATACATTTTATTTTCCTTTGTCTAATGAGATGTACTTTGGCAGTAGACTAGTCTTTTAATGAAAAGAAATCTCATACAAGTCCAGAAAAGCTGTCAAAGTGAAAAATATAAAAAAATAGTAGTTACTGCTGTGGATTCCAAAGGCATATGCTGCTCTTTGCAGGAAGTAGAACAGGATGTTTTATCTTTTAAGTGCTAATAAACATACTTCAATTTTCATGGTTTTAGGGAAGTATTACATATATATTTGGGAAGATGCAGAGCAGCAAACCAAAACATTGGCGTAGGATTGCAAAAGTCCCTTGCTTTTAAGATGTGTGTTTGTGTGTAACCATTCTAACATGAATAAGGAACATCTTGCCCTTAATTCCATTGGTACTTGCAAGTAATGCTGCTGAAGGTTCTTAGTATTTGTGACAATTTCCCCAGGTGTGAATCACTGCCAACTTAGTGCTTTTGCCCCTGAAAATGAGGCAAGTAATTCTAATGATTACAGGTAGCTCTTTATCTGAATCCTGATAAGCAGAGTCATTACAGAGCACTACTCACCTATCACCAGGGTGGAGGCGCCTGTGTTGGTGAATGCTGGTGCTAGAGATGAGGTCTCGCCAGCTCCGATTGCCATTACGCCAGGCAGTGATGCCATGATAAGGTTCTGAGTTTGCTGGCTCAGGGCGTGTGGATTTTGCTCTAGGCTGTGCAAGGCAGTCAGGGTGCTGACAGGAGGGAGAGTTCCTCCAGGAGTCGAGACCTGTGTGAAAGGAGGACCGTGAAAATGCCATCTGCAGCAGGTTGAGCATGGCGAGTCCCAAAGCTGTGATAAATGTCCTCCCTCCTCCTGCCTGCTCTGACCCCTTGCTAACTAGAAAAACTTCACATTTGCTTGTCTGCAGTTTCCCTGTGGTCACCAATTAACTAGCAACAGTCAGCCGTTGAAACATTAAGAGTAAATCCTTGCTATTTTAGTACTTTCATGTTTAAGAAATAATAAGGGTTTTACAAACAAGAATGAGATTAGTCCCACTGCATTTTTTACAGGGAAAGTTTATCTTCTGTTTTACAACTGAGGGTAGAAGAAGATGCTCAGAGAAATTAAATGGCTCAGGTAATTTTACATAGTAATTTTAGCTGCAGAGTTCACCACAGAATCCAAGAGTTGCTCTTTTCTTGTTCACCTTTTCCTCTGAGAAATGCCTGTAATTTCGCTTTCTCCCAGCAAGTGTCTTTTAGTGGTCAGTGAGTTTTCAGATTGACATTTGAAAGGAGTTGCTCAAAAATTTCCTTAGACTTTTTTTCCCCATACAGTGTGTTCTTAAGGATGCATTACCTGGCAGTTCCCTGCTGTCAGAGAGGAAAAGTACTTGTTAGATAGAACAGGACTATTCTGTGCTTGTGTGTCTTGCTGATTCAGTCTGTCCTTGTCATTGAGAAATTTAATAACTTGACTGTTTTCTCAGCCTCTAACATGAACCACATAACCTGTGTCTATGCTTTAATGGAGTTTTGAGTTTGCAAGGCGCTTTGGAGACCTGTAGTTGAAGTACTGTGGAACAGCAAAAAAGCATTCTAATAATTTGGCTGAAAGAGAAAGTTCAGTGCTTTGTATTATACTTTTTTATTTTTCCTTCCCTCAGACAAAAAGCTGTAAGGAATCTTTGGTAAGAGTAAGCACCAACAGGTTAAACAGTTGGATAAATCACCTTGATATCAATTTTAGAAGACAGCCGTAGAAGATTTCAGCACTTCATGAAAGACTCTTTTTTTTTCTTCACGAAGAGACCAGAAAGCCAGCAAAGTGAGTGACTGACAAGATTTAAATTATACTCCTTTATAGTGAACTTAACTTTGCCTCAGGCCAGTATGCACTAATGCAAACTTCTGGCAACTGTTTCCCTGTAAGCATGGGAACATGTGCAAAGTGAAGATGATCAGTTATGTAGTTCTAGTGCTTCATTGATAATTACATGAGAAAAGGTGTAGTCAAATCTCAAAAGGAAATCTGCTTTGAGAAGGCAGATTGCTACAACCTAGATATCCTGTACGTGTCTCAATGGTGTGTGCTGCATACAGGCTCTTGGGCTTAATTTTTACAGGTAAGATAGATGTAAGTACAGGTCTCTGTTCTGTTAATGCCACGGGTGTTTCATCAACTGTTTTGAGATGTGTAGAGTTCAAATGAGAGTTGGAGATGAAATGAGACTCTCACTGGGGAAAGGAGAAGAGAACAGGGTTTCCTGGGAGCAAGGAAATAATGTCATACCTTGAGCTCTTGTTTTTTTCAGAATAGACTGTTTTGAGTGATCATAAGGGAATGGCTGTACTTCTTGCTTGCATGCTCTAATACCCGCCCTCACCAGCAGTCTAGAGGGCACATGTATCTCAGGACTGCTCATGTTACATGGTGAGTGCAAAGTGGATATTTAATATCTGCATAAGAAGGTGGTTTTAAGAGTATTCTAGGAAAAACTACTTCTGAATAGTCTGTATTGTGACCACAGGCAGCGGACCTGATGTCCTCCAGTCACCAGAACTTAAGTATACATCACTTACCAGCTTAGTGTCTGTGCTCAGTAGGTTCTGGCTGGGCTCCAGTCCAGGGGGAGAAACCTGATGCAGGATGGTTTGGGTGGTCACCATGGAGCTGTTCCCATGGTGGTTGCTGCTGGAGGACTCTGCCTCGCTGACTGACTGCTGGTTGTACCTCACTCCTGCATCACAACAGGAGGGAAACTGGTTGTCAGAAATGAGAAACTGGAAAACTTTGGCAAGTGCTAAATTCAGTTTCCTTTGCAGGCGCTTGCCTTTAGATGCTCGAGACAGAGACAAGGTGGGTAGTAGGGGAACCGGGAGAACAGGCATTCTCACCACCCTGCCCTGTCTTTCCTCTGTAACTCGGTGCAGCTGCTTCCTCGAATACTGACTTTAAGGTGTGGCTGTGTGTGCTGCTAGGAGCAAGCAGGGTTCACTAGAAACCACCCTTCTGGATGTGGGTGTAGAGAGGAGACAGTCTCAGCAAGATCGTCTCTTCCCAGAATGAGAGCAATTACCAGCTCTGGCCTATGAAGCTGAAAAAGCTCTGCTCTTTGGATGGAGAATGACCTTTCCTGACAGCTGGAAACTCAGTCACGGAGTCTGATGGTGCTGATAGGTAGGAGGCCCACACATGAGTGAGAGGGTACAGACCTGGCTTGTGATGGCAGCCAGTGGATGACTCCTTGAAAGGGGATTACTGCCTGCCAGCCATGAGGGAGTGCAGGATGTCAAAGAGTGAGGTTTGGCTGAAAGCTTTGTTACTGAACTTTGTCACCCTTGCTATTCTAGTCGCTCTCCTCGCTCAGAGACATGGCCTCTTTGTCACCAGTGCTCTGCTCTTGTAGCAAGACTGCTCTTTCTATCTGTAGATTCACCTCCTAAAGGGCTGCACTTGGGAGGTAGTTTTGGTGACTCAGTTTGGGTAGGTTCACTGGTGTCTCTTTCGGATCTCCCTTGAGTTGTTTCTTACCGTGAACTTTGCTGGGTGAGAGAGCAGATGGTGGCTGGAGGGAGGAAGGGTTGTGAGGAGTTAGAGGAGGAGCAGAAGGGGGCTGTGGTCCGCTGAAGGTGTCCATGGCCAGCTTGTGCCGGAAAGCCTCCTCCTTCCTGCGATTGGCAAACCAGTTGTAAACTCTGACCTCTGTCACCAGGTTTGAGCCCAGTCCCTGGGCCTGAGATGGGGAAACGCCTCTCTGAATACACTCTGCTCTGTTGGGGGGGAAAGCACAAGAAGAGCCTTGCTGAGCCAGGCTTAGTCAGAGAGACAGGGTAAGTGTGCGGCCCCAGAGTGGCTCTGGTCTGGCACGCTGTGTGGAAGGATCCTGCCAGGTGTAGCAAGACACGAGGCGTTACTGGTCCTTTGTGGACAGTGAATGCTCAGTTGTGGCATTTCATTCCAACGTGGCTGGTGTCAGTGGTGACATCCACTGCTGCAGCATTAGCAGGCCTCTCGCAGGTGCTAGCAAACACCGAGAACACAGAGAGGCCCTGCTGCGGCCCTCTTCTTCAAAGCCAGACACCCATCTTTACCTGTTGCACTCTTCCACCAGTGCCTCTCTCTCTTCTTTGCTGGGGTTTTTCTGTCTCTCATAGGCTTGGAACAGGATCTGTTGTGAGGCGGGACCCCACTTAAAGCGGTTTCTTCTTCCCTTCTTGGTGGGCAGGTCATCTCCCATGGGCTCCTCTGTCAGGATACCCTGTCCAGCATGTGTAAATTCTGCAGGCACAAAGGGGCAAGGCAATTTGCTTTCTGGGAGCATCTCCAATAGTTCTGTCTATTTGGGTGCCTAGCAGTCCCAATGCAGCTTACCCTTGGTGAATATCTTGTAGAGGGCAGAGGGTTGAATCTAAATGGGGTGGAAATGAAGTTCCATAATCTGCTAAATCTGATAAGATGTTCCTAGCAGGATCATGTTTACCTGTCCTTTCTCTTGCATGCGTTGCGTCTCTGCTCCCACCTCAGAGCGGTGAAAGCAAATGCAGCTGAGTTTAGAGTAAGCATGACTGGAGTCCTGCTTTCCAAAACCATCCAAAGGCCAAATGTCTCATTTTACTTGCAACCCACCAGTACAAAATTAAGTAAGACAGATTCCAGACAAGCTCATGAATGTAGAAGTGTATGCTGCAGGGATGGGTTCCCTGTAACGAAGGGGCTTAGAGGGTGTGAGGTGATAACCCTCCGTGGTTTTTTTTTTTTTGCAGTGGGTCCAGCAGCCTGTTGCTGTGTGCAGCTAGAGGAACTCTTAGCTGAAATGGCAAAAGTTGTCGTTCTCAGGCAGAAATTCTGACTCTGTCATCTTCCACTACACTGCTTTAGTCTGAGGATGGGTGTAGAACTGTGATCGCAAATGGAGAGTGTTTGCTTCTCTTTAGCCAAATGGAGGGTGGAGTGGGTGACTGCAGGCTGCTTCACGAGGGATTGTTTTTTCCAGGTACTGTTTGGTTCACCTCACTGCTGAATACTGACCTAGACTTTTCTAATCTTCCTGCTAAAAGTAGCTTTTCCTTCCACTTGATAAAAATAGGGAGGCAGGATTAGCAAGGGAGAGCAGAGGCCTTTGTGAAATGGAGATAGGAGAACAGTTGTTGCCATACTTACGCTGGGCCACTTCTCGCTGCTTGCGGACATACCAGGTGTAGAGGGCTGCCCTTTTTTGGGTCTTCATGGGAGTGCCCTTGTTGAGGTGTTGTGAGAGGTGAGATTGGTTCAGACCAGTAGTGTCCACCACTTCCCGCTGAGGGATGTTGTGCTGCTGGAGGTAGGATTTCACCATCTTTGCTACTCGCCAGGGATCTTCTCTGGAAGGAGCAGAAAACACTTCTCAGGAGAGAGAGATCTAACACCTGTACTCAGCAGACCTGCATGCCAGAGAAGTGCACTGGTACCTCCTGAGGTGCACCTTGCATGTCAGGCATCACCATTGTGTTTGGTGAGGCCAGAGCATTAACTGGCTGCGTAAGGGAAAGTTGTTCCTCAGTGTAATACCTTGTTCAGTTTTGACTCTGCATTCAGGGTAAAAACTGTGCGGTATTAGAAATGAAGTGCAAAAGATACAGCACTAGCTTCCTTTAAACTGTGGGCGCTTTGATCTCCTCTTAGAAAGGGACTCTTTGGTTATCAAGGGAATTTCCCAATACATGGCCTTAGCCTTTGCTGTCTATGCTCGTTTGGATACGAGGCTCTGGGCTGTTCTGTCTAGGCAGTTGTCATCTGTAAATGATAAAGTGCTGACCAGTGACGTGAGCAAGGAATGGACTTTTCTGCTGGAAAGTAATGTGAATGTAAAGCACTTTTGCTGCTACTAAGAAATGGGATGAGGAGGGAAGTGATACTGCATTTCAGTATTCAGTTGGATGTTTTATGACTAGAGATCTCTCTTTCAGAGTTGACATCTCTCTTCCCTTTCCCTATTTCTTTTCTATCTCCCTTTCTTTCAGGCATAAGTGATTGGGGTAGATGTACTTAATTTTCCAAGACAGATTCATTGTGATTTTAGGCTGAAACTAGCTCATGCCCTGATTGCAGTCCTGGTTGGGTTGCCTTGCAGTGATTAAAGAAATGAAAACAGCCTTTCATCATACTGTCACATGACAGCTATGTATGCATATGAATACATGAAGCCATCCAGGATTATGTTCTTGCACATCTGCTATGTGTTTTTCAAACACACTGATTCACATCTAGATCCACTCAGGCTTCTAAATGCAATAAAGAACAACAGGCAAACCACTAATTCCTCTATCGCCACCCTCCTTTGGGGTAACAGCTGAGGGAATGCTTGAGACCTACTCACAAAACTTGAGAAGCTAATCTGATTCAGGATTTCACAATGAATGTGAATCTCTGATTTTTTTTTTTTTTTTTTTTTTTTTTTTTTTTAGGATCTCCAATTAGAATATTCATTAAGATTCCTAAGGAAAGTAGGACAACATGACTCTGACTTTTTTTTGTGTGTGTTGATTTCACCAGAGCTGAAAATCACAGTAGAAACAGGAAGATATGAAACCAGGCAGTCTAGAGCCAAACAGTGCCAGAGCCTCTCTACAGAAAAACCTCTGGTTCAGTTTTAACAAAGAGCATCCTTCTGTGTGTTCTGTGTGAAATGTCTGGTGGAAGTGGTTTGCGTGCTGTAGAAAGACACTGGTGTCACATCCAGCACCAGCGTCAAAGGAGCAATGTGTGTGGGGGGGAAAGGTAGCTGGGATTGTGCAGAAACTGTCACAAGAACACACAGGTCCGAGCAACAGGCAACAACTGTGCTGTTCATTGCTCTGTTGACTCAGGAGGTTGCCAGAGGCGGCAAAGCGATAAGGAGGACGAAGTCCACACCTGCTCTCTCAGTACAAACACCCTTATCGCTGTTTCCCTGCAGCCTCTCTCCCAGTGGCTGGATAGTCCAAGGAGCAAGCTCTGCTGCAGTTAAAATGTGACAGAAACAGTGTCAGTTACAGCTTTCTGAAGAACCTGCTTTCTTAAAATAGGAACATTTGTTTCTCTTTTATGATGGGACACTTGCTATAGAGGCTTCTATTTTCTAGCTTCTTCCCTTAACGATCTTTGTCTTTCAAAAGCCTCAAGTTGGGCTGGACTTAGAAAAGCTTCTCTTTCCTCAGTGTGTTGTTTTTTCATCTCCTGCTGTCCAAATCAAGGACCAATCTCCTCCCTTTGTATTTCTGATAGTCTATCCAGCACCTGTACCATGATTTCATTACACAAGTCCCTATGCAAAGGAGAAGAGGCGTAGACTTGGAACCTTTGGTCTCTTGGATTTGTGTTCTGGCTCAGATGGGAAAAGCAAGGACTATGTTATCATTAATCGAAACCTTTGTTATATGTTTATTTCCTTCCTGCACCCCAATCATGAGTCACTTTTTGTCTCCCCTGTTGAGATCCTCACTTCTTTGTGGTAGGAATAAAGCAGGAAGTATCTGTGAGTCTCTTCTCACAGTGGTTAAAAGCCTTGTGGTTTTTCTGTCATCTTTTGAGACAAAGCAGTGAGCTTTGTGAGGCAAAACAGTACAGGGGAATCTTACTATGGTATGATTTCACAGGACAGTTGTATGAAATCCTAGCTAGTCTGTACTGTCGAAGCACAGGCTGTAATACCAGTGCAGCAATTCCTTTCGGCCCAAGGCTACATCACAGAACAAGTGATGGCAGTTGGTCAGCTGAACCCTCACATGAACCATTGTCCAAATACATAGTTCCACCTGCAGAGCCATCACCATTGACCAAGACATCATAAGTCGAAACCTTCACTCTCTTACTGGTGGTAAGGCTGTCATTGACTGTCAGAGGGTAGGATTTCATCCTACCAGTTCTCCTGGTTGTAGTTGCACTAAAATCTCTATTGCTTCAGTGAGTTCAAACTGCCTTGCTCAAGCTTTCCTTCTCTATCTCCAAGCCTGTTTGCTGCTTTTTAGCTTCCCTTTCTCCCCAGATGCAAGCTGTCCCCCCATTTCTGTCTTGTTCTCCAAGCTTTTTCTTCAAATTCGTATCACATAGTTTTACTTCCTTCTTCCCAAGTCTTGCTTTCCTGCTGTCAGTTCCTTCTTGCTATCTGAGCATAGCCCCTCTCCCTCGCTCATCTCAACCACAGGGGCCTGGGTCCTCTCTCCAAACTAGCTTCCCATTTTCTTAGTTCTGAGGTCATTTTTTAAGGGCGTTTTCACCTCCCTTTTGTTACCTGAACAATAAGTAACCCAGGTAGTTAGTTATAAACTCAAAGGGAACAAGAGGCTGGTTGATAATTTATAGCAACATCTCAAATTTAAATGGAAAGTAAATATCAAGTTGTTAGCATTAAAGAAAACCCATTCCAGAGAGCTGGAGATGTAACATTCAGGGGACCTTCTCCCTCCTTCACTCTTCCTGACTTTTCTTCTTTCTTTTTCCTTTGTTCCTTTCTTTCCCTTCCTCTTCCTCATTCTCTGTGTCTCTCCTTTTCTTCTTTCTTGTTCTCAGGCAAGAGAAGCCTTAATTTCCTTGAGATGGGTTCTGAATTGCTGCTTTGGACCAGACCTTGCTTAAACAGAGGTTCAGAGCTGTGAAGTACTCGGGACTATCCTCTGGCCCTTTCCTCTGGAGCCTGCTAGACAACCCTCACTGATGTCAGTGCACAGCCTGGAGCCGGGCTAGGCAGAGAGCAGGGAAGGTAAGACCATCCTGGCAGGGTTCCTTTCTATTGAACTTGGCCTGGTTTGCCTCATCTTGGTTTATATGTGGAAATGAAAGGGGTGTGGCAGCTTCATCTCCCGATTCCCCGGCTAGAGCCATTCTAAGACACTGCTTACATGGGGAAAAGACTGAACCTTTATCATTATCTCTTTGATTTCTTTTTTTCCTTATGGAAAACATGTTTCTATCCCTGCCTCCAGGGGAAATCTGTTGCTTATCTCAATTTCTCTCTTTTCTAATGGAATTTCACCCCTTGCCCTACAGGTGAATTGTTGCTATACCTCTCTACATTTGCTGTACTGCAGTAGTATAATCTGTCCCTTCCCCCAGGATAGCCTCTCTCTTGCTTTCTGCTCTGGGGAGTATCTGGGAATTATTCCACACAGCTCCATCTCCCTCCTGAGCGAGTTATTCTTTATATCATAGATGTGATTTGTTTTCTGCGTGGAGTGATCTGGAAAGAATGTTGTTATTCAAACTGTAAATGTATGGAAGATCAGTGAGACAGATTAAGGGACAAAATGAAATTATCTTAATTCCTCACTAGAGCAACCATTGTCTGAACTACCTTTAGCTTTTTTTCTGTAGGGGCAAAATCTAATCAATGCCCACAGTGCACCCAGTCGTCTCTACAGCCTGTTTTACTCAGCTTTGACCAGCGCTTTCCAAAGGGTGGTTTCAACTTTAGCTGTCCTGTGAGGACATACTTGGTCTTTTGGTGCTGTCATTTTTGTTTTTCCTTTCCAGCTCCTGGAAAGCCTAGCAACGGACACTCTCCTGATTCTACTTTATAAGCAATGGCTGCAGTTACCACAAAGACCTTCTTGTATCACTAACAGCTGCCCACAAGTCAATCTCTCTGTTAAAGTGTGGTCTACAGTATTAGACCAGGAATTGTTAATAATGCCCAGAGAGGCTTCTGCCTAAAGGCAGAAGTGTTTCCATCTGGTTTCTGGATTTGAAATCCTTGTGTAGGTGCTGAACTAGCTTTGCAAGCATTGAAGCTTTACTGGGAGTCCCTGGGTGTGGAGATTCTTGCCTGCCTTCCTTTTATCTGTTGCTGGGAGTAGTTTCTATTATTGACTGTTCTGCCCTGACTTACAATACTTATAATACTATTTTAGGCATCTCTTAATGGAAAGGTTGTTTCTTAAAAACAAAAAAAGTTTATTAGTAGGTAACAACTGCTTACATATTCTCAGACCCTGGTGCTGGTTCAGATGCTTCCAATAGATCCTCAGACAGTTGCGCTTTTTTTCATCTTTGACCAGAAATTTGAAACAAGTCAATACAGACTTCCTACTATTTTCATTTTACCTTAACTAATTTTGATCTATTATATTCCTCCATAAGTATACTTGTAATTTTTTGCTGAAATGGAGGCTTCTGGTCCCCTCATACTGTCCTCAGCAGCAGAAGTGAATTGTTCTCTCCTGTGACACAGGGGACTGATGAAAGAAAACTCTGATGTTTCAGAGTAAAGCTTTTCAATTAAGACCCAGTATGAGGCTTAGGAGATCCTTGTTCTTGCCCAGTCCTCTCTGGACTGTATTAGAGTTTTAGAATCTCTCTGTACCTCGGTTCCTATTTGTTAAATGGGAATGCTGCTCAACTGGCTGTCTAGAGAGATGGGAGACTGTTGATCAGGAAGCGTTAATATCACAGGTTTGCAGGAGAGGTAAGACTGTTGTGCTGAGACTGGTAGTAAGCACAAGAAAGACTGTCAGCAAGCTCTTAGAAAGGCAGGGAGGATCAGAAACTAGAATTCATACTGAAGTGAGGGTGGCAGGAAGGAATTCCCTCCATCCGTGTGTCTGTTCCTAGATCACAGCGAATGGCACTTCAGTGCTGCTTCACCATTCATTACAGAAAACAGGACAAAGCCAGGTGCTCTTCTTCAACTTCCATGGCTTCCTTTGTGGAGAGATACTTGATAAACCATCAGAAGTTAATGATCAAAAAGCTTATCAGGGTCTTTTCATCTATAAATTTATAAGACAAAAGAGAAATAATAAAGCCATTGGATAATTAGTAACTAGCCAGGGCCCGCCCGGTGCCACTGGGCTCAAACTATCCCAAGACCTGTACGCAGACTCAGGAAGATGAGAAGGAGACAAGGATGAGGGGAAGAAAAAGAGTGGAAGGGAGAGAGAAAATTAGCCAAGATGGTGATAAAATGGGAGGAATAGCAACAGAGACAAAAGTGAGGAAAGAAGGGAAATATATAAAAAGAATGGGAAAGGAGTAAAGGGAACAGAGGAGACTAAAAGATGTGACAGAGCTGGAAGTGAGGAAGAGACAAGAGACATACTGGGCCAGAAAGAAGAGTGAATTATTGGGGATGCTTTCCCCACGCAGGTAAGAGCTGATCCAGTGAATTTTCCTCTGTTGGGTACTGCAGAGTCATCAACTCCCAACCTTCCAGGGAGTTTTCGTCTCCTAAGTGTTTACAGTGAATGCTAACTCTTGTCATGCTGGTTTTTTAGCTCTGGCTTTTTGTGGTGGGATTTGATGTTTGCTTGTTACATTTTATGTGAATTTCCTTTGCACGTGAAAGGGAATGATCAGAAAGCCTGAGAAATTCTCTAGATGCATTTTAGTTTGAGTGGAGCTTTTAAGTGCAGGATGTTGCTGCATCTTTTGTCTATCAGCTTGTCATTTCCAAATACCCCCAAAACAGATGGGCAAGAATCTGGTTCTGTTATGATAGATAGGTTGGATGGACCTGATCCTTGCCTGGACAAACCTTTTAGGTCACCTATGGGAGTTGTATCCCAGCGAGAATCCCAAATGGGAATCCTAGTGAATGTTTCTCCGAGTCTATCGTGAGGCTTACCGGTTCAGGGAACTTTTCCTGTCTTTTGATCTCAAAAATGCTTGAATGCAAAGGTAAACTTGCGTGGCAGTAAAACCTGTAATTGTTGCTGCATGTGTACTTTGTAGTTGTGACAGGCAGTGGATGGTAGAAGCAGAGTGTTCTGCCCAGGTTTTAGCCTCTGCGTATATTTGGTGTGTGCTCTTTCTATAAGAAAAATCCCCACTGAAGTCAAGATAACTTCGCACTTGCAAGAATGACAAGAACAAGTTCTCTTGGTTTGTCTTTGGCCAGTAATTTATAGCAAAACCCAGTGAAATTAACAATATTAATTTCCTTAAATACAGCAGAGAAACATTACAACTTCAAATTACCATACATCCTCAGGCAAATATAGCACCAGTTAAGAGTGACCAGATTTTTTTCTTTTTTTTTTTTTTTTTTTCTTTTATGATGACTGAAACTGTGCATCCTATTAATCATTTAAATCCTAAAAACTAACATTCAGTCAGAGAGATGCAACTTATATAGGCCTCGGACTATTCTGAAGCCTGATGATATAAGCATGTCAAATATGTAATAAGGCTCTATGGCTCCCTTCATGCATTATAAATAAGATGAAAGGAAGGTCTGAGTATTTATAAAGAATTTGAGGGTGTTTTGGGGCTGCTAGTGCTGGCATGGATGAAGACTGTCTCTGTGCGTCTAGATCAGTTGTGAATACCGGGGACACTGAGCAGAAAGGGAAAGGAAAAGAGATTTAGAGGGAGCGTGAAAGAAAGCAGCAAAGAGGAGTAGCAAATCTGTCCTTACTGTAATAGTCTTTCCACCACAGCCTTCTGGTGAGCAGCTTCCTCGGGGCTCAAGTTTTCCAGCTCCTTCATTATTGGAGGGGTAAATTCCTCCCCATCATCAGAGGTTTCATCTTCTGATAACCTGGACTCCCCCATTCCATTGGGGAGGTTGGGGATGTCAGGACAGGGTTCCCCTTTCTCTGTCTGGAGGGCATTGATAGCGCGCTGGCTTTCGCTCTGGAGCACGTAGGGTTCCACTTCGCTCAGCGCCTTGATCAGGGTCTCCTTGGTCAGCCCCGACTCCAGCAGTGCTCCCAGCAGCTCCACTTGAAGATGACTCAGCTTCGAGACCATGGTCTTCAGGCTGGTGTCGCTTGGATTTGAATTTCAGCTTATCCTGCTTCCAGCTTCCCTACTCCATGTTCC